GGCAGCTCAGTGGCCGGAGGGAACTGAACACGCCAAGCGTCGTCCAGACGAGCGAAGCAGCGCTGTATGGCATGCGGTCGTCCACACTGCTGACCAGTGCGGTCACCAGTGCGAATGACGTACGTGCAGCTAAGACCACCCCCACCCCCGTGCTGAGAGTACCACTCACGGACCTCCTGGGGCGAGGGAGTGTGCTGCTGGCCCTGGCCACCGCCAGTGCCTCCACGGACACCACCACCGCTGCCACCTCCTCGACCACCCCAACCCCTGCCGCCGCCTCGTCCACCGCCACCCCAACCGCCGCCTCCACTCCTGCCACCTCCCCCGCCGCTGCCGCCACCACCCCCACCGCTACCACTCAACCCTCCAGCCGAGCCACCACCCCCACTGCCTCCACCGGCCCCACCGCCGCCTCCCCCGCCGTCACTGCTACCACCCTTGCCCCCCTTGCCCTTGCCGCTGCGGCGCCCGCTCGAGGCAGACGCAGCGCCGACCTTCTCAGCACCGAGAAGGTCGACAGCAGCAGCAGAGGCGACAGAGGGAAGAAGGGGGGAAGGAGAACACCCCTCAAAGAACAGGGTACGGGGGTCGCCACGAGAGGCACCTACAGCGACTATGCTAGTCTCAGCTGCAAGGAGCTCCTTCTCGAGGAGGGCAATGGTGAGCTCCGTGGGGCAACGAGCTAGGAAGTGGTCCCTGACAGCACACAGTGTGTCAGGGAGGCGGGTGACTAGGTGGTAGAGAGTGAGCCAGAGTGGACGGGGGTGCGTGGCAAGGAACTCTGCAGGCATGGCGGCACAGAAGCGGGCCTCACTAGTGCGGAGGTGCGTGATGAGGTCAGCGACTGTGTGAAAGGAGGCCTGGTCGGGAAACAGGTAGGGGAGGGAGAGACGGCCTAGTGCGGCAGAGGCAGGTGAGGAGTAGCGGGCAACGACAGCTGTGTACAGTGCCTGTGCAGTCTTGTGCTGGCCAAAGTGCTCGCGTTCGTCTATCGGCAGGGAGTTGCGAATGGCGAAGCGAGCGTGGGCATCACGAGTCTGCCACTGTGAGCGAGCAGTGCTGTCAGCAGTAGCTGCAGGGGCAGTGACATGGCCTAGGGCGTGATCGTACAGTGAGATATCATCCTTGGCTGTGAGCTGTAGGTAGAGGTGCAGGTCATCAAGCCAGGTGTCAAACTTCACAGGGCGGCCCTCAGCATCGCACACGAGAACCTGTGGGCTAGCCATAGGAACAGTAGACTAGCAGCAGTAGCAGTAGCAGTAGCAGTAGTAGTAGAAGAAGTAGGTAGGACGAACCAGGTAGGGCAGGGCGGCGCGGCTCGGTTCAGGTCGGGTCGCGGCTCAGCTGGGTGGCGCGGCTCGGTTCAGGGTGCGCGGCTCGGCTCGGGGCGCGCGGCTCGGGTCACGGCGGGGACGAGCCGCCCGGTCTCCCTCGTGTGCTGCGGCGGGAACGGGCCGCCCGGGGCCTCTAGGTGGTGGGCACGGGGCCGATCGGGGCCTGAGCGGGGCTAGCGTGGGGCCAAACGGGGCCTTGACGGGGCCTGAACGGGGCTAGCGCGGGGCCGACTGGGCCTGAAACGGAGCTGACGAGGCCTGAAACGGGGCTAGCGCGGGCCCGATCGGGGCCTGAATGGGGCTAGCGCGGAGCCGACGGGGCCTGAGAGGGGCTAGCGCGGGGCTGACGGGGCCTGAAACGGGGCTAGCGCGGGCCGACGGGGCCTGAGAGGGGCTAGCGCGGGGCCGACGGGGCCTGAAACGGGGCTAGCGCGGGCCGACGGGGCCTGAGAGGGGCTAGCGCGGGGCCGACGGGGCCTAAGACGGGGCTAGCGCGGGCCGACGGGGCCTGATAAGGGCTAGCGCGGGGCCGACGAGGCCTGAAACGGGGCTAGCGCGGGCCGACGGGGCCTGAGGGAGGCTAGCGCGGGGCCGGCGGGGCCTGAACGGGGCTAGCGCGGGGCCTGAACGGGGCCTTAAAGGGGCCGACGGGGCCTGAACGGGCTGCTAGGGAGAGCGGGCGTGGGGCCAACGGGGCCTGAACGGGGCTAGCGCGAGGCCGTCAAGAGGGGCCTCTAGGGGCGTGACACGTCGAGGCGCCCTAGGGCACTGGTAGGTAGGTAGTTACGTAGTGGTGGGCCCTTAGAAAATTTCGGTCCTAGGAAGGACCTGCTCAATACCATGTTGGAATCATTGAACAAGAATGAATGAACTAGCAGTGAAATGAGTACAAGTACCTAATCCTAGAATTGTGTACCCCCTATAGGCTAACCCACTGTAGCCTTAACCAACACAACATATATAATGTTTGACACACCTGGTTTGAAGGGGAGTTGCAGCGAGATCTCACGCTCACAGTCTCATCTACCGTCACTCAGTATCTCGGCCTCAACATCCGCGAAGAAAAGAACGCGATTTACCTCAGCGCCGAAAAATACGCCGACACTATCGCCAAACGCTTTACGATCACACCAGCAGCCATTTCCACGCCATACCGCTACACGGCAGGGAACGACAAAGGAGGCTCCGCCCTACTCAAACCCGCCGGCATACGAGACTACCAGAAGAAGATGGGATGTCTACTCTTCGCAGCTGTCACCTGTCGTCCCGACCTCTCATATTCCGCAAGCCAGCTCGCTACATACCTCAAAAGGCTTGAAGCAGAGCATCTGGCGGAACTCGACCGCGCTCTCCACTACTTCGTCAGCACTCCGACGGTCGGCCTGACCTACCATAAGAACGCAACTGCATCACCTAAGCTAATCGGTTACGTCGACGCAGATCACGCGGGCGACTCCGACAACAGACGATCGCGCACCGGCTATATCTACCGCTTCGAGCCTATCGGGCCTATCTCCTGGCAATCGAGTAAGCAAGAACTAATTGCTCTCTCATCAGCTGAAGCAGAATACATTGCACTCTGCTCAGCCACCAAGAAAGGACTCTACCTTTGCGAACTGCTAGAAGAGGAGAAGTTAGCCGAGTTACCCAACTTCACCCTTTTCTGCGACAACCAATCTGCAATCCGCATCGCCAACAAGAACGGCTTCGCGAACAGGACGAAACACATCGCCCTGCGATATTTTTTCGTGAAGGACGAGATCGAGAAGGGAAGGCTCGTCCTGTCATACTGTCCCACGTCCGAGATGGCAGCTGACTACCTGACCAAGAAACTCGGAAAGCAGAAGTTCGAATACTGCATGTTGCTGACTGGACAAAGCCACGTCAGCGACACTCCAGAAGCGAAGGGGAGTGTTGGAAACAATCGGTCCTAAAGCGCTTCTACCGTGTCGAAACACCAAGGCACAAGCGAAGCAAATCATATCGAGGCACCAGCGAGTCAACCCTCGGAGGTTGAAGTAACCGCTGGAGGTTACGCGAAGGTCAAAGGTCAGCGACCTTTGACTTGACAAATACAGCGCGACAGCAAGGACACACAACTGACTCGATACTGAGCAGTTGCCCGAGTCGTCACTGTATCGAACCGCAACAGCAACAGCAAAAGCAGTTACAACCGTATCTCTTCGTATTCCTTGTACTCTTATATAAACATTTGTATTTGCTTGTTTTAATCAACTTACTTTGCCCTCACATACCAGCGCAAGGTGGTTCAGAATCTTCTCTTAAAACGCTTCCACTATTACATCACTTTACCTAGAGTTTCATCCTATCAAAGATCCTAAGGGGCATTTCAGCCCAACAATTATAGCCTACACAAAGCAAGCAATATAACATTCAGACAGTTGCTAGTCAAAAACCCCGTCTGTAAATCAGACCGGGTTTTTTTCCTTCGTCTGACCGTCAGACGTTTTTTTTTTTGGCTAGTCTGGAAATTCATACGAAAGAATATTCATACGGTAGTCCGTAAATTCAGATGAAAACAAAATGCAAGTCCATAAGTAATGGAAATTAAACTTAGAGCATCAGTTTGTCAACATAGCACATACCTTCGTAGTGGAGAAACGTCTAGATTCTCGGTAGTGTTGGGAAGATCTACTCTGGGAGGATGTGAGACAGTGGAGGATCTTCCTTTTGGCAGCAGGAAAGATCCTCTGACGCAAAATGCAATCTGACGCATATGTGTCAGACAGGATTTTGACGCGTCAGCGTCGGATTCGCGCGGAAAAACAGGGGGCTACAGTTGGGGTGTATTGTCTGTATCAGACGAAAATACCCCCGCTGTCTGTGAACTCAGACGAAATTTACAAGCCAGTCTGAAAAATCAGACGAATACCGTATATTTTGCACTTCTGATGATTCAGATGAAACAAAAATCACTGTCTACAGATTCAGATGAACACAAAAAAACGAGTCTGATTTTCACACCGTCAGACGGATTTCGTCTGATGTCGGCTTCCCTGGTCCTCACGGACCAGACGAGGCGGTTGGATGTGTGTGTCTTGTTCTAGAGATTTGGAGTGCAGCAATAGTGGTTTCCGAGCGAGAGATACGGTAGATCAGGGTGGAATACACCAAAATATACAACACGCTAGGAGATACGGTATGATCCTAGCTTGGTTGGATAGCTCCGTGGATCAGATGCAAGGAACACAACATGAGATGGAATTGGGACCGTCCCAATAGGACAGCACCTTGCACGTGGGGTTAGCCAACACAACACGTGCAAGGCTGGTTCGGATTCCCTTGCAGCACCCTATCATCTACCTAGAACTATACATGCCTACTCTTACTCACGCTCGACACACAAAAACACAAACCAACCGCGCACACTGCATTGGCTGCGAAAGAACGTGAAGTCTGGGCACCCAGGTCTGGCCATTCAGGTCCGGGCATCCAGGCCTGGCCATCCAGGCCTGGCCATCCAGGTCTGGCCAGCCATCCAGGTCCGGTCATCCAGATCCGGGTATCTAGGAACATGTGTGACAAGAGCATGTGATGTGAGCAAAGCAGTGCTCAAACTCGAGGTGTACTGACAGCTCATCTCCACACGCACTGCATTGGCGGCGCAACAAGAGAGCGTCAAGTGCGGGCATGCGGACAAGTGGGCTACAAGAGCAGCTGCGCAAAGTACTGCTCAAACTCGTCATCTATGGTGGGCTTCTTCTTGGGCGCTGGCAGTCCCTCTGATAGACACAGCACAGCACAGCGCAGCACAGGGCAGCACAGGGCAGGACAGAGCAGCACAGGGCAGCACAGAGCAGCACAGGGCAGCACAGAGCAGCACAGGGCAGCACAGAGCAGCACAGGGCAGAACAGAGCAACTCAGAGAGCAGAACAGAGCAGAGCAAAGCACACCGACCACAAGAGAGAAGCACAGAGCACACAAAGCACACAGAGAACACAGAACAGCACAGAGCAACACGGGTAAGGGAAGGGGATGCACACAAGGGCGAGGGTGAGGGAAAGGGTCAGGCTGATGGCATGGGGGGCAGGCATGAGCACAAGTTGATTGATTGGAAAAGCATTACAACATGGCATTTTCTACTAAGAAACTGATGGCACGCAACACTGTGCGGCAAAACGGCACAAACAACTGGCATGCAAAACGGAAAAGGCATTGAAGGGGGAGCAAGGGGAGTGTGGAGGGAGGGAGGGCTGAGAGCGGGAGGGGTGGGGGCATTGGGTGTGAGAGCAAAGGGAGGGAGAGGTGGGCAAGGAGAGGAGGAAGGGAGTGAAGCTTTGAACAAGTGCAACAAGAGTCTGGCACCCACCTGCTGAGAGTGTTCGCCCAGAGGAGAGGACAAACTTGACCGCCCCTACGTGCTCCGCATGCTCCTATCGGCGTCGCCCTCCAGCGGTCCGTCCTCCTCCTCGCTGCCCACCACCTGCGACTGCACCACCACGCTGAACCGCCGCCTCATCTCCGCCTCCTCATCCGCCTCTGCTCCCGCTCCCCCAGCTTCCCCCGCTGTTCCGTTTGGTCTCTGCCGCTGCCTCTGCCGTTGCAGCGTGTCTCCACGATCGTCAGCGCAGCAGCGCGCCTCCCCGTCATCGTCCCGTAGCCCCTCGCCGCGCGCTCCGTTCACCGTTTCTTGCAGCACGCGCGCGCTCCGCCTCCGCCCTGCGCGCTGCTCGCTCCCCCGCTGCTCGCTCCCCGTGCTCTCCCGCTCGCACGCGCTGCTGCCCCCGCTGCTGTCCCTGCTGCTCCCCTCGCGCGCGCGGAACTCTGCGGGGGACGGCGCGCACGTGTGGGCGCTCGCGGCACCACCTGCGCGCAGGCCGTCATCCACGCTCGCACTCCCTGCTGGCCCGCCGTCCGCCGTGCCTGCCGCCGCGCATCCCGCAAGCACGGGCGCATGCGCCGAGGGAGGCCGCCTCGCAGACGATGCCAGCCCATCCCGCTCCTCCTCCGCCGCCTCCCCCTCTTCCGCCACCCCCACTAGCCCCACCTTCCGCCTCCGCCTCCTCGGTCGCACGGTGCTCTCTGCGCCGACTCCTCCTTCCCTCCTCTCCGCTTCCTCCTCCGGCCTCTCCCCGCCCTCCGCATCGGTCCTTTCGCCCCCATACGCACACGAGCTCTGCTCCCCTTCCCCTTGCGCTGCCGCCCATCCGCCCGCCTCAATAAGCGCGGCGCCGTCGCCCGCCCGCCGCGTCATCGCGACCTGCTGCCCCGGATCCCCCCCCGCTCCCTGCCGCTTCCTGCCCCGCGCGCATACCACCCGCCGCGTGCGCGCGACGCTCTCCATTGACCCGCCGATGCTGCGCGCGGAGGACGCGGGATGGTGGATCCCCCCGCGCCCGTCACCGTGCGCGCCCGCCGCCGCGCCCACGGCGAACGCAAGCGGCGCTCCGCCGCCCGATGCCTCCAGAAGCAAATCCGACTCTGCGTTTGGCTGGAACGGATGCGGCGCGAAGTCGACAGACGACGCGCTCAGCGCCCGCCACGCGCCGCCTCTGCCCTCCGCCTTTCCCGCCACAGCCGCCGCCGCCGCAGCGGCTTCCCGACCTTGCGCTTCGAAAGCCGCTGGACCTGCCCCCCACGCGCCTGGACTCTCCGCCCAAGCCGCGCGTTCCGCGGGCCTGCGCTGGACCCCCGCGAGGCATGCGCGCTTTGCGGAGAAAAGAGGCACGTCCCAGCGGGTAGCTTGCGCGGGGGGGGAGGCGGAGGGATGCGCGAAGGGGGAGTCCGCGTGCGACGGCGCGACGGCCGCGTCCGGCAGGGCGGAACGGGGGGCGTGAGGGGCATGTGATGACGTCAGACAGGCGGAGTCGTCGGCAGTGGAGGATAGATGGCTGCTCGCAGGGGAGGCAGGGGAGGGGGAGGGAACCAGGGGGCGGGGGGGGGAGGAGGCCGGGGGAGGGAAAGAAAGGCAGGGGGGGGAAGGGGGTGCAGAGGGGGGGAAAGGGAGAGGGGGGGATAGGGGGTGAGTGGGAGGGATGGGAACACGAGACGCGGAGGTAGGGGAAGGGAAAGGGGGAGAAATGGGACGGCGAGAGCGTAGTGAGAAGAAAGGAAGGGGTCACGACGAGCAATCTTCGTTGCGAGCAGTTCGCGACACACACGAGGAAAGCAGTTCGCGACACACACGAGGAAAGCAGAGCGACAAGGCAGGTAACACGCGCAATACCTTTTCCGCTTCCGCCACCCAGCATCCGCTTGCGCTCCCCCTGGCACCGCCGCATCCCCGTCATGCCGCGCGCCGATGTTGCGCGCGCCCGACCAGCTCTCGTCCGCGCGCCCTCGCTGCGACCCCTCCAGCCCGCAGCTCCCATCCACGACGCTTCCGTTCGCCCAGCTGCCGCCGTGCGACGGGTGCGACGAGACGAGCGACGGGTGCGACGGGACGTACGACGAGTGCGCGTGCAACGGAACGAAGGAGTCGGCGAGAGAGGAGGCGAAGGAGGCGGAAGCAGGCGGGGGGGCGGCGGCGGGGGGAGCCCACTTCTTGTGTCCCACAACCCATCGGCGCGCGGAGAGGGGGGCGGCGGGCGGACGGGATATTGCGTCCATTGCGGTGAGAAGGGAGAGAGGGGGGTGCAGAGGATGGCTGCGGTGGTGTTGACGACACGGCGATGACCTGCGGCAGGCGGGGATGGCAGGAGGGCAGAGGAGCGCACTCGGAGAGGGAATGGAAAAAAACGGCGCGGAATCGGAGGAGGGTTGCGGCTGTGTGCGAGTGAGCGAGTGGGGGAGAACACGGACAAGGAACGGCGCGAGAGAATGCGTCGCGCGAGGCGGAGCGCCGACGTGGAGACGAAATAATGACGAGAAAAAAAAACTTGGTACGGTGGAACAAGACAGAGAGGAGGACGCGAGGAGGAAGAAAAGTCGATGAACGCTATGCAATGGCACGCAACAGAGCAGAGCTAAAGCCATCTGAACTATTGCTACGAGTCTTACAACTAGGTATGGTAGGTAACGCGAAACCGAGAGGCTATAGCGACATTACGTCCGAGCATAAACACACGAGTAACTGCCACGAGATCACATAGAGAGAGGGAGGGGAACGGACGCTCTATTGATAGAAAAGAGAAACAGAGAAACACAAAAACGCTGAGAGAATGTCGATTTAGATGGTGCTGGGTCGCATCGACGGTCCATTGTCGTACATTGACCAGGCCATGCGACAGCCGACATTGAATCGTGCGACACCGCATGCGACGACAGCATGCGATGGTAGATCGGGACAATAGCACTACGTAGTGACAGCTACTGGATACTCACGTCGTCGAATCTGGAGCTTGAGTTGCTGACTCGACCTGCTGAAGCTCCGCTAACATAAGTTTAACTCTTCGAGCACCTACTAACTAGGGTTACGGATGTGGTGCAAGCTGCGAGACGCAGACTCATGAGTAGCAGAGATGCAGAGCAGGGCCCAAAATTGGTTTAGGCCTACCCTTACGAATCAGGGTAACATCCCCTCCTTAAACAGACCCCTAGGGTTAAACATTTCATACCCTGTTTTCAGCAGGGTAAATGTACCACTAGCCTGATTTGAGCAGAGTAGTTTTAGGCTAAGCCTGTTTTTGTATCTATTTTGTGAGTTAACTTATTTTTAATGATATACACAAGTAGCACATTCAGAGTCCATGAAGTCAACACACGCAACTGGCCGTTTCTTCCACGGGGCGGGCCCTGTTATGGCCAGCAAGGCAGCACTGAGGCTGCAAGTTGTTGTTAAGGACAGCTTGAAGCTGTCCTTGATAGCCAATTCTGCTGTGATGGCGGTGGGCGTGGCGATAAGTGACGAGGAGCAATAATTGTTGGCAGTCCTGCGGCAGAAACAACCAATGAGGATTCTTGGCGTGCTGCCAACTACGATGCAAGTTTCCATGCGCGTGGGCACGAGCGACAACGGGTGTTTGTGGAGGTGTTGTACGTTTTGTCGCCACCACGCGGACTATGGTCTGATTCGCGTTAGAAAAGATTCGGTAACAGGGTAGTGTACACCAAACCCTGATTCCGCCAGGGTAAGCTAAAAACCTAGCAGGGTAAAATAAAACACGCTCTTTTAAGAGAAGGGTAACTATTTCGCAATCCTGATTTCAGCAGGGTAATCCTGAAAAAGCGGCCGGCCCCCAGGGTAATCAGGGTGTTTTACCCTGATATTTTGGGCCCTGATGCAGAGGGAAGGAGAGGAGAAAGTTATGAGCTGAGGCAGCTGGGCTGGAACAGTCCTGATGACTAACGACCAACAACTGGAAAGCAGCTAAGGTTTGGTGAGCGGCACTGTTCATGTGGTGAGGGAAAGACAGGAGGGGCGATGGCAGGCGAGGCGAGCAAGTGGGCAGGAGGAGAGGCGAGGGGAGGGGAGGGTAAGGAGAGAGGGAGAGAAGGGCGCAGGCGAGGAGAGGCGAGATGCAGGTTTGCATATCGACGGGCTGTCTGCCGTCCGTTGAGAAACGAATAATGAGACTGTAATTGAACGAACTGAGAATACAATGAATGGGCAGACTAATATAGGGCTAGCCTAGCTGGGAGGAACGCGAGGTTGGGTGCAGGTTTGGCGATGGAAATGCCAAAGGCGACGCGAGGAGCCTCGGCAGCGTTGAAATCGGCCGAACGTGCGAACTCCGAAAATCGGGTTGTACGCGAAGCAGTCAACCCCAATAAGGAATTCGGGAAAATTCCTTACACCACCCCCCCTTAAGAAAGGCGGTCAATATCCGAAACCCGCTTTCGCGCCAGGTAATCACCAACAAGTGGCGAGACGTCGAGCGAGGCGGATGGCAACCACGTGTCGTCCTCACTGGTGCGGTCAGTCCAGCGGATTAAAAAATCCACATGTCGGCCAGCTGCGTCGAGGCGGACCCGATGAGCCAGGATTTTCGAAAGGTCAAGGGTCGGCTCCGAAATAGGTCGTGCTGTCGGGGCAGCTTGCTGACGTGCGATGTCGGTCGTGGCTGGTACGAACTTGCGAAGAAGGGTGGCGTGGAAGGCGTCATGAATTCGCCAGTCGTCGGGTAGCAACAGCTTCGCTGTGACAGGTGTCACCATCTTGAGAATCTTGAATGGCCCACAAAATCGTGGCCGTAGTTTCGACGGGCCGGGCAGGTGCAGGTTCTTCATGTCAAGGAGCACTAATTGCCCAGTGGTCAAGACGAGTTCCCGGCGTAGAAGGTCGGTGTATTTGCGGGAAGTGATATTCGCCTTGCGAATTGCGTCGGCGGCTTTTTCTCGGGTTTCCTGGAGTTCCGTCACGAAAGATTGTGACCGCGGGACCGGGTTGTCGAGGGAAGTCGCTGTAGGAACCGTCGGGTCCATCCCATAATGCAGGAAAAACGGGGAGTGATTAGTCGTGCTGGACGGCGCGTTGTTGAAGGCGAACTCCAACATTGCGAGAGAATCTTCCCAGCGGGCCGGGTCGGGGCAGTTAGTCCCGACCAGCTGCTTCATGGTTTAATTGGTCCTCTCGGTTTGACCGTCCGTCTGTGGGGTGATATGCCGATGAGAACTGTTGCTTCGTGCCGTATTGCGCCCACGTCTCCTTCCAGAACTTTGATGTGAATCGCGGGTCTCGGTCGCTGATGATCGCCGAGGGGATGCCGTGCAGTCGCACGACCGTTAAGATGAAGAGGCGCGTAGTTTCTTCGGCTGTGATTGTCGTACGGCATGGTGCAAAGTGCGCCATTTTCGTGAAGCGATCGACAGCGACTAGAACAGCGTCGTTGCCTGACGGCCCAGCTGGCATCCCCGTGACGAAATCCATCGTCACTTGTTGCCACGGTCGTTCGGGTGGCTCGAGGGGTTGCAGCAGCCCAGCTGGTCGTTGACGTATCGATTTCATAGCTTGGCACACCCTGCTTGAGGACACATATCGCTGCACGTCGTTAGAGGAGTCAGGCCAGTAATAGTGACGGTGCAGTAGTTTCTGGGTTTTATCAACCCCGAAGTGTCCGGAGAGATTCGAGTTGTGGACCTCTTGGATAAGGAGTTCACGCAGCAGCCGGTAAGCGGGAACCCAAATCCGGTCAGTTCCGGCTTTTAGGTAATAATCCCCTTTCTGCGTCGTGGCTTGCTGATGATTCCTAGTCGTGAAGAACGGGTCCGTAGTGTAGCCGTGGGTGAATAGTCCTGTAAGTAGCGGGTTCGAATGGGTGATGAGTACTGCAGCGGATTGTACTGTCGGTCGGGTCAGGGCGTCGGCGATGTTATTCGCCCCTTTCTTGTACGTGATGCGGTAGGTGAAATGGCTCTCCATGTAATCCAGCCACCGGATCTGTCGTGGATTGAGGTTGGGCTGGGCTCGCAGGTACTGTAGGGACTTGTGGTCCGTGCGCACAATGACGTCGGCGCCCACCAGGTAGCAGCGCCACAGTTTGAACGCGTCGATAATGACGAGCATTTCCTTATCGTGAATCGGGTAGTTGCGCTCGGCAGCTTGCAGCTTGCGTGATTCGTAGGCGATCGGCTGTAGCCCGTTCCCGAAATCTTAGAGTAGGACAGCCCCGATGGCGAAATTAGAGGCGTCGGTTACGACTTCGAACGGCTTCAATGGGTCGGCAATGCGGAGTACAGGAGGGGAAACGAGGAAATTCTTGAGCTCCTGGAAAGCCGCCTCTGCCTCCTCCCCCCACACGAAATAAGCGTCCTTGTGCAGCAGGTCGGTCAGCGGGCCGGTTATGTGAAAGAAAGAACGAGAATGAGTTGAACTATGAATGAAGTGAGTACAAATATGAAACCCTAATTGGGTTGTACCCCCTATGGGATACCCCACTATAGCCTACACAAATAAGTAAGCTATAATGCCTCGCGCACGACAGAAGGCACGCAGAAGGCCAGAAGAGAACTCTCCGCCTCTGTCCGAGTGCAGACGCAACACAGGAAAGTCCGAGCCAAAGCTCTGCCTAAGTCGGAGACGAGCTGCGCGGATCCAGTCGATCAGCACCTCAGTGACATCACACTTGCTGTGCAAGGGGAAGACTGTGGTGTAACGCGAGTAGTCGTCAACCACTAACAGGAAGTAGCGCTCGTGACCGAGTCCACGGACGCGGGCAGGGCCCCACACGTCCATGTGAAGCGTCTGCAACGGAGCCTCTGTCGGAGGAAACTGGGAGGAGTGAGGGGCAGCACGCTGGCGCCCCTCGACACAGGGGACACAGGCAGGGCCAGGGCCCTGAGGAAGGGGAGGGAGGGACCGGGGGAGACCAGACACAAGAAGACGGGAGGCCATGCCTCTGAGCCGAAGCAGAGAGGGGTGGCCAAGGCGGTGGTGCCAGAGGAGAGTCTCGTGAGACAGACGGCGACACGAACAGGGGGCAGACTCAGGACCAGACCTGGACGCTGCAGCAAACACCTGACGAGACGAAGGGACTCTACCAGACTCAGCACCGGGAGGAGAAGCAGTGGTCAGTGTGTACAGGCTCGACCCTGGCTGACGTGTAAACGTAGCCAGGTGGCGACTTGTGCTAGCCTCTGTGCAGTGTGTCACCCGCTGACGAGCAGGAGTGAACTGGTGGACCCCCACATCCTGTAGGTCAGCACCACTCACCAGGTTCGTAGAGAACGAG